CCTGGATTTCAGTCCTGCCTGGCTTGGATTACCTGCTGGTTGTTTGTACCTTGTTATTGCTCCATCACCTCAACCTCAACACAAGTCTAAGACCAAATGTAACTAACCTTTACCACTGCTAACTCAGGAAACCAGTTTTCCCATCCTTGTTAGCAATACTTGAAATTACATTTCACTCCTCCTCATCTTCCTTTCTTCCCCATCCCAGGTCATTCATCAGATTCTGCTAGGCTTTTGTTTTCCTCAAAAGTGTCTTTATCCCTCATTTGGTTTGGTTGTGGTTTGTCCCCCAGAGGTTCATGTGCTGTAGGCTTGGACCTCAATGTGGCAGTATTAAGAAGTGGTGGAGCACTAAAGAGGTAGGATCTAGTTCAAGGTGAGTAGGTCATTGGATGTGCTGCCCTCTGCGAGATTGTGAGTTGGTTGTTATGAGAGCTGATTGTTGTAAGGTAAAGTCATTCATGTTCTAGGACCCTTTTGTGTATAGCCATTTCCCTTCCCTTTTCTTTACACTTTGTGATACAATTAAAGGAGCCCTCATCAGAAGCTAAACAGATGGGGATGCTTGATCTTGGATTTTCAGCCTCCAAAACTGTGAGCTAAATAAACTTCTTTTCTTCGTAAGACACCAGATCCAAGTATTTTGTTATAGCAACAGAAAATGGTTGAATACACCTTCCTTCCCTCCTCACTTTCACCACCCTGAACTCCATCAACTGGAGGCCCACCTGTCCTGATCTTCAGGTACTGCTCTCTATCCTGCAATACCTCTCTGCCTTTAACCCCTTTTGCTCAAACTTAATAAGTATCAAAAAAGGGAATGATCATCACAAACACAAACAGAAACTTCTGTGACTTTCTTCTGCTCTCTCTACAATCTAAGACTTGATTTTCAAGGTTCTCCATAAGCAGGTACCTACCTCCCTGCTTTCAAATATATTCCCATTTCACAAATATTTGCCCCAGACAATTCTTTCCTTTCTCTCCTGAAACAAAGACTGTTCCTTGTCCTTCAGCCACCTCGATGTTGGTCCTCCTCAGGCCCTCCTGAAATCCTCTGACTAATCCTCGTGGATTTCACTGCTTAGCGACTCCTCTGTTGTGTGACTGGAGTTGGTATCACCTGAATGATCTCTGCCATGCTGTTTGCACCTTACCAGTGTTTGCCATGGGAACCAAGTTCTTATGTGGAGATAGTGAGTCTTATCTCACATTGATTATAAATGCTTTGAGATTGGAAACCATAAAATACTACTGTATGATCTTTTACCATGCTTGACTCACATAGCAAATACTCATATCCTTGTACGATTAATTCAAACATCAAAAGTTGAGGTTAACTTGAATTTAAAATACAGATCTCACCATCTTGATTAAAACTTTGAAATTTCTAGCAAGTTTTGCATAACTTTCCAGGATCACAAAAGCAAACACCACAAGGAAATGAGTTGACAGCTGGTATGAAGTAGAGAAACCTCAAGGGATATTTTAGGGAAGTGAATAGCCTCTAGCACACTAACCCTAGTTTTTTCCAGAGAAGTTTAAAGAACTCTTGTGAAGAAATACATTGTTGAGTAACTGAGGGGCATGTCTCTCAGGTTGTAAAGTATTTGAGTTGGGTTTGTCACCTTTTCTGATATCCCTCTTCTATTCTTTACTTTTCTGACTACTTGTATTACAAAAGAGAATACTAAGGTTAGCAGTTCCATTCTCCCAGTCCAAATAGAAGAAAACCAAGTTATATTCTGAATATCTGCATATTTCCTCTCAGCAATTCTTTGTCCTCTTCTCTATAGTGCTCTGTGTCATATTTTTTAGTAGACCCTGGAGTCATCTATAATTTTTACTTCCCTTCAGTAACATTACATTGATATTCACCTCTGATGTGCAGATGAGATTACCAAATGCAATAAGGTGAAGCCAGAGGTTACACAATAAATCTGGTCCTAAACAGAGGTGACCYTTGAGTTTCCAGTCTGTTGATTGGCCACTGAGCTGTGCTACAAGCATACAAAGGAAGCTGCATCCACAGCAGAATATTCTGGGTGGTTKCTGAGCTTCACATTTGTTATTGCTTTATGTCCCGTAAGGCCCAGTGTTTTCTTCCACCACATCAGCTAGCTCGATTGGGCTTCCCCAGTCCCCTCCCCACACCCTGAATATGAGGGTACAGCATGTGATTTCAAGCAGTGTTAGGATGCTCTGAGAAACCAGAAGAGTGAGTGCAAGCTACTTTTTGTTGTCAGAGCGAGGCTGTGTAATATAAATGAGTAGTTTACCTTCCCTAAATCTTCCCCCTACTGTATCCATATTATTTGGTTGTAACGTGTGTAAATAGTGGCTAAGCAGTTGAAGTGGCTGAGTGGGAGAAATCTCATTTTGGAATTTCACTTKCTGTACTGAACTAAATAAGGAATGTGGGTTGTTGGCTTTGTGACAAGTTCTCTGTCATTTTTCAGAAATATTTGGACTCACTGAGGCCTATTTAGAATCATTGGAAAAATAGGGGGGATATARTGAACATTATGGGTGAGCTGCCAGCTTATAGTAGCAGCAGCAGCAGCGTACCAGCCTGCTGAGTCACAGCCCTGGCTCCTGAGAGGTTCTAGCGCCCTTGTGAGTCAGGTGTGTCTGTATGCTGGGAAGTGGGGTGGCAGGCTGTTAAGTCTAATAAGAAGTGCAGGCTTGTAAATAGTGGTGAACATGTACAGAACAAGCTCAGAGATGGGAAGTTGGATTTGCATGCATTCTGTTGGATTTCAAAGGTTATGCCCACCTCATTAAGCCTTTGCCACGAGCCTTTGGAGTAGGGACTGCAGATTGGTTTCAATTGACAGTTTTCTTTGAATTCTTAAACACTGATGCTGTCTTAGACCCTGCCATCAAGAATTCTCTGTTACCTTGCTTTAAACCTTCAGGTCCTTCAAGATGTATTGTAGAGGTAGAAGAACCTTCTTTTTGGTCTCCAGAGGGTAATCTTTGAGTGAGAGCAGTGGAAAGATTGAGAGGAACTGGCAGCTGAATCAAAGTGTATTTTGCAGTTTTGGTAGATGCCGCCATCAGGAACTGATGCTTCCTGCTGTCTCTTTCACCCTCCTCTAGAATATTGGATCCAGACAGTGAGCCTATCCAAGGGGAATGCTGCTCTTATCAAGCTGTTCCTTAGAACAGGGTTTCTGCCTTTCTGATAGTCAAGCGCATACTAATGCATTTGACATCACATCCCTGGATTATGCACACAAAGACCTCAGTTTTACCACATGAGTCCACACTGTTGTTCTGGTTTTTCTTTTTTTTAAATGCTGGTTGTGGCTCCCTAGGTAGTGCTTGCAGGTGTAAAATCCATGCCAAAGAGGATAAAGTGCTACCTATGCTGATTAGCTCTGGACAAAGACTCAGTTGGGCTTTCTCTAATCTCCTGTCCTTTTTGAAACTTCTGCATGCCCAGCCTTTGCAGTTATCAGCCTGAAGAGGAGTGATCATAGGGGATGGGAAATATATCAGAATCTAAAAGCCCAGTGGTCTGGATGGAGATACCATAGCCAGAACTGATTCCATTTGGCAGAGTGCTCAGTATGTGCAATTACTTTTACATTCAAGGCCAAGGGTCGGGGTGGGGGACGTGTGGAAAGGTCTCAGGGCACAAAGCACAGCCTTCATCCTGGGACTTGTGATGTGGATTCACGATGACCTCACCTGCATTGCCTTTTCCCTTCCAATCCTGGCCAAAGCCCAGGAGACAGATGTGTCACCATGATTGAGAAAGTTGACTTTTCTAGGCAAGGAAGTATTTATTTGTGGCAAGCAGTGGGGACAGAATTCTTGAGGAAGGAGGGTGCTGTTTCCTAGTAGTGGAAGAAAAGGGCAGTATGGCATGGACCTCATCTGAGGTGGCTCCTAGCTGGTCTTGACTCTGAGTAATCAGCACTTTGACACTTCAGCATGATTCTTGGCACCCATATTTGGTAAATGCTTACTGGATGCTGAGGGTAGAAGGTCTACACCAYGGTGCTTGAAAAACCATAACACAGTAGGTCAGAAGGTGCTCACTAGAACATCTTTGAATGAGTGGGGGGCCAATTCAGGCTTCTGGAGACAAATACCTATAGGACTTGGGGTGAGCATACTTCATACTTGCAGGGAGGTGGGGYGTGCCAGGTCCCAGCACTGCCAGTGCAAAGGGCAGAGCATATGCAAATGCCAGGTGGCTGAGGTTTCAGCCAGTGGTTTGCTGTGTGACAGAATAGCTGGGAAGGCAGAGCCTGAAGGGTCCTGGGTGCCCTGCAAAGCCATGACTTAAACTGAATCTTATATGTCATGGGCAGACTCTGAAGGGGTTTGAAGAGCTCAGCTGATCTCATGGTTAAGTCTGAGTTTTGGAAAGGAGAACATTTAAACTATGATTTTATAAAGCAAATCTTGACTCTTTGTTTTTGAACCTTGATTTATAAAAAACAAACAAATAAAAAAAAACAACTCTTACTCCTGCCTTTTCTGGATCAAGTGTTAATAGATCTTTGTTGCTATGTACTTTATTTTCATCTGTGTAACTACTTTCATTGTGATTATATTCAAGTTAGTATTTTCACAGATATACTCGTTGAACTTTAGTATATATGTTGGTCACCATTTTGGAGGTGCTTTTTTTTTTTCTTTTTTTTCCCTGAGGGTTGTGGGTATGTGGCTCAGTGTAGAGTACTTGCCTAGCAGGCACAAAGCCCTGTGTTTCATCCCCGCCACTGCCCAAAATACAAAGCAAAAACAGTGAGAAGAGGAAAGGAATGTCTATATTTTGAATGGGAAGATAGGATCAAGCAGTTTTTCTGCTTTTTTYCCCTTTATATTCCTCTAAAAAAATAAACAGCTGTGTGCCTCTGCTAAATACTAACTGCTTTGTGAGTCAGGTTACATTTGGTTTTAAGGAATTACCAGTAGCATGTCTATTTTTGTACTCAGTAACCCATTCACTTGTTATTCTTTTGTCTTTTTGATTCTGATAGGTCAAAGTTCATGTTCACTGAAAGAAGTATATGAGCTAGCTGTTCATGAGGCCACCCACCAGACTTAATGAAGGATGCCAACGTGGAAGAATTTTGATGTTACAGTGTCCTCACTCGATAGTGTATTTCATTCTTTTGCAATCCTAGAAAAAATGGTGTTATTTCACACTATTGTGTGAAATAGAAGATCCTTTTCTATTTTTAATGACTAACATGTATTAAGATGGACATTAATTCAACAAGATACCAAGTTCTATGGTGTCAAAGYAGCAAGCACCCATTTGAAACTGATCCCAAATAAAAACAGACCTGAGTGGACATGAGAATGTTTGTTAGTGGCAGAAGAGTAAAAAAATGTCAGTTTATTCAGTTATTTGCCACTTGTTTTATACTAAGCCTCATGTTTTTTTGGGGACACATTGATAATCACATCGTGAGCCATATGAAGTCCTACTCTTACAGATACCTCATAAATAGCTATGACTTTGTGAATGATACCCTGTCTCTTAAGCACAGCTCAGAGGGGGCTCGCTACCCATACTTGATTAACCACAAGGAGAAATGTCAAGCTCAAAAGGTCCTCCTCTTGCTGTTTATAAAGACCGCTCCTGAGAACTACTATCGCCGATCTGCGATTAGAAGAACGTGGGGCAGTGAGGAGTATGTTCGGTCTCAACTCAATGCCAACATCAAAACTCTGTTTGCCTTAGGAACTCCTAATCCCCTGAAGGGAGAAGAACTACAAAAAAAACTGGTTTGGGAAGATCAAATATACAATGATATCATTCAGCAAGACTTTGTTGATTCTTTCTACAACCTTACTCTTAAATTGCTTTTGCAGTTCAGTTGGGCAAATACCTTTTGTCCACATGCGAAATTCCTGATGACTGCTGATGATGACATATTTATTCACATGCCAAATCTTATTGAATACCTTCAAAGTTTAGAACAAATTGGTGTCCAAGACTTTTGGATTGGCCGTGTTCATCGTGGAGCCCCTCCCATTAGAGATAAAAGCAGCAAATACTATGTCTCCTATGATATGTACCAGTGGCCAGCTTACCCTGACTATACTGCTGGTGCTGCCTACATCATCTCTGGTGATGTGGCCGCCAAGGTCTATGAGGCATCTCAGACACTGAACTCCAGTCTGTACATAGACGATGTGTTCATGGGCCTCTGTGCCAATAAAATGGGGATAGTACCACAATACCATGTATTTTTTTCTGGGGAAGGGAAAGCTCCTTATCATCCCTGCATCTATGAGAAAATGATGACATCTCATGGACACGTACAAGATCTTCAAGACCTTTGGAAGGATGCCACAGATCCTAGAGTAAAAACTGCTTCAAAAGGGTTTTTTGGTCAATTATACTGCAGGCTAATTAAGATTCTTCTCCTTTGCAAATTGACCTATGCAGACACGTATCCTTGTAGGGCTGCTTTTCTCTAATAGCACTTGAATGTTTTTACTGTCACTGAGCCAAACCTGGATGGAAAACCCATTAAATGTTTGTCTGAATGCAGAGTAAATGAATATGAAAGTCAAAGAAATATTTTGAAAGCCCAGTCTATCAGAATGTTTCTTTGATTATAGAAGCCATTCAATATCACTTATCTGCTTCATGGCCTAAATTCATTTCAAGGAGTTCATATTTACAAAAGGGTTATATCATGAATAGAAACAAAACGAATGAGAAATTCACCTTCTCATTTAATGCCACATGTATATTGGAGGTGTGAGTTGTGAACCTTGGTATTAGAATAACAACTTTTTAGAGACATTAATATATTGTTAGATCTGGTGTTCTAGTTTATTTCTGTTCCCTGCTCCACCACTTGGCAGAGGCAGTGGGGCAGGGAAGGGTTGGAATGGGAGAAAGTATATGAATCTGGCAAAAGAGTCTCTTGTTCTTAAAAGGTGTAGAATGATGTCTACTGTTTCATGAAAAACAGCTGAATTACCTAATGATAATATCCATGTAGCTATTTGCCTAGATACTGTTGGCATCATTTTAAATATCTTTTTCTCAAAGTTTAATGTGAACTTTGAGAATCAAAATCATTGGCTCTGCCCTAACTGGTACTTCATTTCTTTTTCCTTTCCCCCTAATATTAGAGAATGGCACAAAACATGGGCATTCTCATGTTTGATTATAGGGTGCTAATTTAGGGAGAAATGATCGTCAGTTCCAATAAGCTGATTTAATGAATTTTTCAACTGGTTTTTAAGTATTCAATATTGTTTAAGGTAGTTATTTAAATGTTTTTTTTGCATAGGTGAATATATTACTGGAGGAGACTTCAAAAAGAAAAATAGGGCTGGGGTGGAGCTCAGTAGAAGAGCTCTTGTAGCTTGCGTGTAGCCCTGGGTTTGATCCCCAGCACTGCAAAACAAAAAGCCTCCTTTCTCTCTGATTTATAAAATAAATCTTAGTTTGTAAATCCTTGTACTGATTATTAAATATAACCCACCTCTTCCCAGCAAGGTCTCAGAAACCACACTATTTTGTTCTAAGTTCAGAGTCAATTTTAAATTGAGAGTATTAAATGTCAAATCAAAGCTTTCGTATCTACAACAATCTATTTGATCAAATAACTATTAGACATGAGCTTTATTTTTAAAATATTTTAAACTTGAAAGCAGAGTAAAAGTGGTAATAGAGAGTTGCCAGATGAGATTGAAAGTGTTTGTAAAGCTTCAGGTTCCTTTGTGATCAGAGATGTGGTAAAGTAAGTTACATATATTTTACAAAGCAGGATAAAATTGTGGCCWTGATGCAAACAACCTCCCCTCACTACAGAATTAGGTTATATGCATTACCAGGGAGATTATATGAAGGCCAAAATAGTGATTTCAGCAAAAATAGTTGAACTGATTATAAAACCTTTAGCTGCAGAGAAACCTGATGGGGACAACTCAGATGTCTCATGGGATAAGATGATTTCTGAAACATGCAAAACAAAACTAAAAGATTTCTCAGTATACACAACTGGATGATGATATTTATAATTTGTAGCAGKTAGATTTTTAATGTTTACAGGAATTTTTTGTTAATTTTTTCTCATATTTTGAAAATTTGAGGCTTGTTTACATTGCTTAGGTAATTACACTAGTGTCAAACATTGTAGGTTGTAGTCACTGTATTTAGAATAGACTCAGAATCTTAGATCATTACAGTTTCAAATTTCTGACCAATTTTAAAAATGGTAGAGAACAAAAGCACATTTTGACAAAGCAAGTTTATGAGTAACTTTTATTAGTTGATTTTTTAATGACTGTTTGCCTTTGGGCCATATATACCCTGTGTGTCTTTCTATTCTAGGAACTATTAAAATTTGCCATTGGTTGAAAACCTCAGCATCTCTCTGGCCATCGAAGTGATCTTGTTTACAGCAACACTTTTGTGAAATGGTTATTTATTTGTTGAAAGAGCTCTCTGGAACTGTGTTTATCTTTTTTTTTTGCTTAGAATAGAATGGAACAGGTTTAAATTTTAAGGAAATATGAAGGTACTTTCTTTGTTTTAGAAGAAGGAAGCTGCCTGATGATTCCTTCATCAGACTTCAAGTACTGAGGAGAATATTTGTAAATAGAAGTGTTTTAACCTTTTAAAAAGGAAGGGAAAACAAAAACAAAAACAAAAACTTCATGGTGCTCCAATGCAGGGTTGGTTTTTTTTTTTTTTAAATGTCAACAAAGGGAAAATAAACTATTAGTGTGGATGGTCACTTGAGTAAAAGATGTTTGTACACAGTGTTACTGTTAAAAACTTTTTACCTCTTACTGATTTGCATCTTTTTTCCATATTATTAATTTTATACCAAAATGTTAATATTTATATTATGAGTTTTGCTCTTGTACAGCAAAATAATTAGTGGGTTAAAAAAAAACCCTAAGATTTCCAATAAACAACTTAAAAATTGTCAGCAGGTGTGTGTTTAGACTCTGGTGTGGACACCATTTGTTTATATGATCAGCTCCTGTTTCATGGCAGAGAGGCATGACTGTGCCATCTTAGTCCTCTTCCCATTCAGGCTTGCTGTTGTACCCAGGAGTCCTCTGGTTTATGGAACCACCTAGCATGGCTTCGTTAAAGGACAGGATGCAATGTCTAGGTAGGGGAATGTGCTTTTCTAATAATTTTTTCAGGAAGGGATGACATAATAACCYGCAGCCATAGTGCCTTAAAAACCATTTGAAAAGGTTATATTTTCCTTTTATGTGATACTGTTCATTAGCTGCCGGAAAGTAGATCTGAAGTCTGCCCCCATCTCTTACCATCAGCAATGCTTGTGCCTAAGCTGGAGTGTTTTGTGCTTTGGTGTATTTGCATATAGGAAGCACTCATCTGTCTTTCACCTGGTTGCTGTTCAATTCTTAGTGTAGTATAAAAGGTAATCCAGTCTATGWATTTTCTAAAACTTGGAAGCATCTGAATTACTCAGTTGTAGTAGAACATGCAAGGAATGGTTAGGATGTTTGTGGCCAGGACTAAAGTGAATATTGATTACTTAGAAGAGTTAATTAACTTGCCCTATATTTGGAGACTACTTGGACACCATAGCTGCACTGAGAATGGGACCAGAGAACTCTGGATGCAGGGTTATCCATTCTGTTCTAACAGAGGAATGGTCCATGTTTGCCTGACCCAGTAGGTTCTTCATTCTGCAGCAGGACAAGGCTTCATCACAGCTAGCCTTATAGTWTTCCTTTGTAAGCCTCCATACTGCCTCCAGCATCTGATGCAAACTCTTCTATCTGGTTTTTGAGGCCCTCTGTGACCTTCCTTTCCTTCATCCTCTGGGGCTTGATTTTTCCCACTGCCACCTTTATGCATCATAAATCTCATTGTGCCCTGTCTATGTTGGCTTTTTTTTTTTTTTTTTTTGCCAGGAACACCATTTCTTCTGCACTGGTTGAGATCTTAGAAATCCAACCCCACCTTCACTTCTTCAAACATCTCCTACCCTCCTCAAATTTATACTTCATCACATATATTATTATATTATCTACTAATTGTTCCATATGTTTTCTCCTAGCTATAATATAAGTTCTGAAGGTGGGAACTCAGCATATCCTAGCACATAGTGTTCAAAAATCACCTTTCTCCAAATAAAATAAGGCAATGTTATTCTACAAGCCATCAAACTGTGAAGAGATTAATTATTCAGAACTTTTAATCGGCACTATCTGGTATAAAATTTTACTAATACTAATTAAAAGTTGATACTTTATCCAAAAATGTCTAAATGCTTCTCTACGTCAAGCATACTGTAATATCAACTGTAGTGCCAACAAATTCATATTAGTTATATATCAAAACTCAAGTCCAAAATTAGGGATAAATAAGAAATACACATTAAACTGTTATAACAAAGACTGGTGATCTTAAGGTATTTAGGATGGTAGAACAAAAGCTAATCTCACAGATTCTCCTGTCTCCTGATTTATTGATGGATTAGGTTTTCATTTTTTCAAAGTTTTTTGCAAGAACATTTTTGTTTCATTAGTTACATGCTGTAAATTTTTCCTTTGTCAATAGTAGTATGATTTAGTGATCTACTGTAAAATAATACAATAATCAACTAACTTATAGAACACATTTAGACTTTTAGAATTATAAAGAAGGTATGGGTTTTGGTAATAGAAAAGCCCCAAAAGATAAACTCACAAATGGAAAACAACAGAACACATCACTATCAAATGGTGCTTTTCAGAGACCACCCTACTAAACACTTTCAGAAATGCTGAATTGGGCCATTCACTGTAACTCAAGGATATATTTAGTAAATAAACCCACATCTGTTTCTTTGAGTATATCTTAAAGTGAACRAATGAAAATAATAAATGGCTTTTGTCAAGGGGGAAGTTCTTAAAGATGTTTGCTCATTCATTTCATAGGCATTTTTTATAGGCCTGTCAAGCCAATCACTACGATAGACCCCAGGGACAGAAGCAGCTCATGAGTCAAATGACATGGGTAGAAAGATGTGACTACTGCCAGAACAGGGGTTATGATGGGGATTCGAGTAGGAAGGTTTTTATTTTTTAAATAAATTCCCCTTATGCTTCTGGTTTTTACCTCCCTAATTTAGGCTAAGCTGCTTTCACATGTGTGCAAACACCTTCTTGAAGACCAAAAAATAGCATTGGATTTGTATAAATTGTGTCCTTTGAGAATGAAGAGCTTTTAAAAGGGTTAAAGTCAATAATTCAGTCAATATCAACATTAGTTTACATGTCATATTCACTTAATACTCCATTTTTGAAACAGTGTACCCTTGGAAGTTTCGTTTGTAAGATGTTTTCAATTCTCTTGTTGCTTTTATGAGATGCATGAGTTTTGTTCTCAAGTACATAAGGAAGGTTACTACTTATAGTAAATGCTGTGACTTTCTCTGGGAAAGATAAGGGATGAGATTTAAAACAGAGGATTCCCACCCCCATAGATCTATAAGAGAAGCCGGCCCCCAGATCTGCTGACTTACTTTCGAGGGGAAAGGTCTTCTCTGTCAAGCCGCTCCAACTCAGGGTTCCCGTCATCATGACTCCTTGTAAATATTTCTTCATTCTGAAGTGAAAGAAATTTTGGTGAGATCTTGTTTCAGGAGACTTTTACTCTATATTTTTCTTCCCCCCAATTTCTGTGTTTGATTCAGCTTTGGTTTTTCTAGATGAGCAGCATGAACAGGTTCTCCTTCAGTTCTTTAACTTTTTTGGGTTTTCCCCAGCCACTCAGATCTGTTACAGTTCACCCTTCAGGCTGCCTTTAGGAAGGTCAGAAACTCATACTCAAAAGCAGGTGTCCTTTTTCCTTACTTGCAAAGGGCTAGTCCCATTGCACTCTTCCGTGCCCTAAAAACAATTCAGAGTTTCAGCTAGAAGGAACAGGAAAAGGATCACTTACTCAATATCTCCTTGTTTTTGTCTTTGCTTTTGATAAGAAATCCAGGTATGGAGGTATGAYGGCTCAAGGCCAGAATGAGCTAGAGGCAAAGATGAGGTAAGCCATTGTGGGCCTCCATGGACTGGTGGTCGGAAGTCACTTTGTCCCACCATCCTCCTGGGCAGTGGGATCTTTAGGTGGCATGGAGGAATGATCACCAGTGTGCRCTCCTAAGCCAGCCAGTGGTTGGAGGCCCCATTACCCCACTTGCCAGATGTGAGATCCTGGGCAAGCTCACTTGGCCTTGGGGCCTCCATTTCTTCACCTAGAACGTGGACCCCATACACCATCTGCCCTAGGGAGCCATGGGAAGAATTAAGTGAGAGCATGTGCAAATGCTTTTTATAGTACATGATACTGGCTAATTATTTACTTGTTCCTTATTAATTAATAATTTTATGATACTCTGTTTACTATCAATATTATACAAATCCACTTCATTGTTAAAATTGTTTTCTCTTTCTTCTTCTTCCTTCCTTTCTCTCTCTCTCTCTCTCCTCTCTCACAAGAGTCTCACTGTGTTACCCAGGATAGTCTTGGACTCCTGAGTGCCAGTGATCCTTCATCTCAGTCTTCCTAGTAGTTGGGACTAAAGGCAGGTGCCACTGTACCTTTAGAGTAAACTGAGTCCTGCCTCTTTTTGAGAAATGCCCAGTGTTATTATGAAAAAGAGCCAGGCTTATGTAATTCCTGAGAAGACACTATTAGTATAGATTCATGTTTGCTTGAAAAGTACTAAGTACTTACTTAGAATATAGTGATATATTTCCTGGGTGTTTTAAAATCAATAAGGAGGTGAATTTTTAAAGCCCATCTTCATAAGACATTTTTTTAATAAGTGAAGATCTAAGTCTTTGAAGTTGTATTCATCATACTTAGGTTTYTCATTGAATTACTTTTTTAAGTTCAAAAATTTCTCAACATTTGTTATTGGGACCATTCAGACAAGTATATTACACAAACTAAGATAGTCTAAGAGACTAATGAAAATGAATATTGATGAAAACCTAACATTTTGTGTGTGTGTATGTATGTGTGGATGGGCAGGGGTACAAAGACCTAAGACCTACCTCTAAAAATTAAAAACCAAGTAACAATGCTATGGAACTTCTTAATGATTTTTATTGCTAAGAAATATTTTTTGGGGTTGGGAATGTGGCTCACTGGTAGACTCTTTGCCTTCCATGTACCAGGAACCGGATTTGATCTCCAACATCACAAAAGAAAAAAAATTAGATAAAAGAATGTTGTTATTCTATAACAAAATATCCAAGATTTAGATATTTTAGATTTTAAGATTTATGTGAAGTAATTCTTTATTTTCCTTCTGGTTTATGACCAAATTAAGTCCCTACGAGTCAGAATAGAAAATTTACTCAAGGCCAAAATTTTTAATAGTGAGTGAACAAAAATTAGATGATGCATGTTCTCAGATCTGGAATAGCATTTTATTTCAATTAAATTTTTTTTTTACTTTAATATTAGGTTATTGGGGTTTAAGTTATATACCATAAAATTAACTTTTTAATATGTATCATTTATTGATTTGACAATTAATTGTGTATCTAGCTGTGAACCCTCCACAATCTCAGGTCCCCTTATGTTCCTATGTAGTCACTCTCTTCCCTCTGCTTTCACTCCCTGGCAACCACTGCTCAGACTTCTATCCTCTGGATTTGCCGTTTCCAGATCACTGTGTGAATGGCATCCTGGAGCACCTAGCCTTTGAGTCCAGCTTCTCTTACTGGCAAGTGTTTTGGTGATGCATCTCTGGTGCTGCCAATATCAATAGCCATGTTTTATTGCTAAGTAGTCTTCACTGTATGGACATACTATACTTTCTTTATTCYCTTCAGTAAATATTTTAATCTGATACTATGTAAATATTGTTTCAGCTATATAGATCAGGTTACAGTTCTGTTCCAGTGAGTTATTTATATTCGGTAAAAGGGAATATAGATGTAGAAAAGGCCCTCTTACAAAAGTATCGTGGAGGCCAATTTAATGGAAATAAAAAAGATTCCTTGTAAATGATAACTGAAAGTTAAAAGATGAGCTTTCCCCCAAGAATAGGTGGAATATATTGGATGTATCCTTGTAAAATAGGGGAGAGTGACAGGCTATTCAGCCAGTTGTTGACAGTGCACCTGGGCTAATAGAAGGAAGTTAAGGTGAGGCAGTTTTATTATCTGTCATGCCACCCAGAGCAGGCATTTTAAAATGTTCAGTAGGGGGATGGAAATAGGAAAGACAGTTCAATGAATCCGATAGAACTTTCCCATGTTCATATATGAATACACCACCAGTGAAACTCCCCATCATGGATAACCACAAGAATGGGATCCTAATTAGAATAAATTATACTCCATGTATGTATAACATGTCAAAATACACTCTACTGTCATGTATATTGGAAAAGAACAAATAAAAAAAAAGTCCATTGGACTAAAGAAAGTTGTGGGTCATTAATATTTTTTGTAGATAATCTTTTCCAATCTGGTATCAAATCCAGAAAGCAAACAGATATCATCAGATATATTGATTTAGCCAATTTATCTCTAAAATAAAATGTTAACCTTATATTCCAATAAGATGCCATTCTTTTAAGAGTCTAAATTTTAGTTTGTTGTTATATACATCTGACCAGGGACTAAAAAATTTTTTTATAAGTTAATGTAGGGAAGTAAACACTAGTCCCAGGATTAAAAAACCCCCAAAGTTTTCACCACACTATCCAAGCTCTTTCTTCATACTTTTTATAAAAATTTAACCAGTTAATATGGCAGTTAAAGTTATACTAYATTCCTTTCTAGATCCATATCCTGTGTCTGAATTACCCACTGGACTTTGAACTCCAGTCTTATTCATCTTTGCATACCSACCATGTAATACAATAATTGAACTGGCTTTCAGAGGAGTAACCAATGCTATTGACAAACCTTTCTCTCACTGTAAAACTTGCTTCTAATTATACAGTGAACTGTGCTCTTTCCCACTCCAATGATCTATTGTTTGTGGGGTGGATTGTAGAGTCTTTTGTTTCATAATAACCTAGTGATGAACACTTTGTAACAGTGACTCAAGGCATAGATCTTGACTTCCTCACCTTGTACACCGAATGATGACACATCTCCAAYTTATGGGATTTGTACACTTGAGACATCCTCTTGGGCTTACAGAAATGCCTTGGCCTAGACTCAGCAGTATCATTCCGTGTTGTTACCACATGTCAGACAGTCCGGGTGGAGCAAAGGGAGACTCCTCTGCCAATCAAGTCTGATGGACTATAACATGGGTTCTGTGGAAAGGTCCTCAGTAATCTGGAACCACTTTAATAAGAGCCTGCTRTGAGGTAACTGCCCTGTACATCCATTTTTGTTAAGTCTCAGATTAGCTGTGTTGTAGTGTAGTGGCTTCCAAAGTCTGACCACAGCCCACAGGCAGCGCACATGCCACAGATATGGAAACCTTTTTCAGTTATATTGTAACTGATGTAATACATCTATTTTAAAATTATGCTATTCATTTTCATTCTGCTTCYTATTAATTAATTAATTTATGTTGGTGAATCTACCAAACTGAATTTACATTCACCATTATGACTTATAATTCAAAAATCTCTTATAAATAAAAAGAACACAAGTTTGGATATGAGAAGTAGCCCTAGATGGAAATTTCTGGCTACTCTCTCTATTTTTTTTTAAAGAGAGAGTGAGAGAGGGAGAGAGAGAGAATTTTAATATTTATTTTTTAGTTATCGGCAGACACAACATCTTTGTTTGTATGTGGTGCTGAGAATCGAACCCGGGCCGCACGCATGCCAGGCAAGTGTGCTACCGCTTGAGCCACATCCCCAGCCCTGGCTACTCTTTATTTAAAAATAAAAATACCTTGGTACCTTAGTTCTCTCATCTGTAAAATAAGGATAATTATGTTCACATCAKAGGGTTGATAAGGCAGTAACAGATTACATTCTAAAATGCTTAGCACTAATGGCTCAATAAATGGTAGTGGTGGTTGACTAATACCTACCTTTTAAGGATTAAATGAGGTTCTGCTTGACTTTCAGTAAGTACRAGGCAATAACTACCTTCCTATGTAAATCATGGACCCAAATTTTTAACCATRAAGAGCTAGCCAAGCTACTCAATTTCTCTGGAATTTTCTTGTGTATAAAATGAAGGAGATGTGTGATTTGGCTATGAAACATACCTCTGCTTATAATATAAAATACCAAGATAGGTGCTGTTGTTTCTGATTTTGAGATGAAAGTTGAATTGTAGCTGACCTGCTTTTGGGGAAAATTTAAATTGTAATAGGGGGAAGAGGCTATATTCAAGTAAAAGCTTGCTTATCAAATACACCAAAGAAATTGACCACAGGCCAATCACCAGTGGCTACTTTATTTCTTTGCTAGCAATTCCTATGAGCCTCATGGAAGTATGAAATGATACTCTTTTAGAGTAGAGCCTAATAATTTCTTGTGAAATCGAGTCCTGGTTCCCTTCAATTATCCTAAGAGTTGTCACAGAGCTACATAAAGGGAGCCAGGTTCCTCAGCTAACTAGTCCTGTAAGAGGAACCAACTCAAACTACCCCCTCCAGAAGCCAAACAGGTGGTGCAG